CAAACCGCAAGCTCTGAGTTGCACTCAGGGTGAGTAACTTTCAACCGTTGCGCGCGTTTCCACAGGCAGTCTCCTTCAAAAAAGGGAACCGCAACCTCGGCGACTCGGCGCGCGAAGAAGAAAGCAAAAAGCTCTTGGGGCGTCATTTCCCCGACCCCGGTGCCTACCTCTTCGAAGAACTTCCAAAGAAGTAACTAGTTGCGTTGAAGATCAGGATGGCCTTGGTGGAGTGAGTGGTCGAGAAATGCCGAGAAGGACGAGAGATTCCACACTCCAGGGTTACCATGCGCCAGGCTGCTGAAAAGGCATGTCGAAGCCTACGAAGAACCGGATGACCACTGACAGGGCCGAAGTTTGGGCTGAGATGCACGCTTAAGCCCACCTGGCAACTGATCAATGAACTGAGTCCGGCCCTCAAGGAGTTTGATTTTCTGCCGCCGATATCTTTGGGAGGTCTTCGGTTTCGGATCGCCTGGTTCAAAGCACCTAAGAAATGAATAGCGGTGCACACGCAAATCAAGACAGCGTGATAAGTTGGCGCAGGATAGGATGATCAAATACGCAGGTTTGTCAAAACGAACGAAGGCCGCCGCTCCTCCTGAAGCACGAGGACAAGCAAACCATGACATATCCGCGCCTGACCAAAAAGCTGGACAGATCAGCTTGCTTGGTTTCATCCATGGACACTTCTTGCACCGCAACGGTGGCAGGACGATGGTGAACCGCCTAGCAGGCTACGGCCCAAGCGCCGTGGCCCCTGCCGCATTGACCATAAGACGGGACAGTTGTTGAGACTGAGATGAAGGAGTTGCTTATTATTTCTATTTTGTAAAAGCACTAAAGCTCACGCGCAGTCACCCCCACAGTAGCTGGTTTGATGGATTTTGCCGCTAACGTGGAAGCAATTCTGCCCTGCTGTTCCAAACAAGTGTGCCTGCCACAATCCCAAAGATGCCCGCGGAAACGTTTGGCCAGTAGGGCAATAGTTTTTTCTGAAATGTACATGTTGGTGAAGTGGTCAAAAAACCCTTACCCCTGGGCAGAACAACGAAACGATGCATTTGGCGTGCAGCTTTGACCCAACAAGGCTCCATCAATGTTCACTAAGATGGAACCTTGTAAATTTGGAAGAGAAGGCCTGTGTTACATCAACTACGGACCTGAACAACAGTCGGCCAACTTCCTGGTCCTTGTTGATGAATTCTGCCGCCTTCTATGTTAGTGTAACTGGAGTTTTCTACCCCTTGCTTTTCACTAACATGGAAGTTGACCTTGCAAAATCGAGGATCCGCTGACCGCTGACATAGCGAAATCAATACTAACATGGAAGTCGAAATAGAAAAGCGGTCACTCAGTTGCCTGTGAGGACTGGTGGGGAGAGTATACCTTTTGGAATTTTGTTGGTTTGGGTTCAAGTCTGCAAGCAGGTCTCTACATCAAGCCTCTAAAAAAAAATCTTCACATGAGTTGAAGCTGTCCACGATCTTGAGAATGAACACTGTGAAGGAGCTAGCATCAGGGCAAGTGTTGTCAGTAGAGAGCAGAGCAGGTTGACACCTTACAACAAAGGCTTCAAAACATGTAATCATACGTCCAGCACAGTTTTTCAGCAATGACTCGACTTGAAAAGGTTCGAGTTTAAAATCAGTCAGCTTGGGGCAGCTGCTGGGCCATCATCCTTGTCTTGAACGAAACCATAGAACAAATTGCACATGCTGCTTATGGTTGCTTCACCGCCCTCATCCGTCCTCCCTTTCTGTTTTTGCTGCCTTTCTCCTTGACTCTTTTCCTTTTGGTCCTTCGTTGCCTTCTTCTTGCGCTTCTCCTTTTCCCTTGGGCCTTACGCCTTCCTTTTTGTTGATTTCCTTTGGCTCTTCGCTGCCTGTTGCTCTTCTCTGCACTCACGTCGTTTTGTCAAAGGCTTCTGGGCCAGACTGGTTTTGGGCATCTTTGAGGGCTTGCACACAGTTTTGGCCACAGGCCAGACTGGTTTTGGGCACCTTTGAGGGCTTGCGCACAGTTTTGGCCACAGTTAACACCTAAATAGATACAGGATGTTGCAGGTGTTTGGATACAGGTGTGACGATACTGTGTGGACGTTAAGATACAGTTGTTGAGATACAGGTGAAGACACATACAAAACACGCTTGCGCAACTACAACTTCGACATCTTTCTAATCTTCTCTTAAGGCGGCGGGGTGGCCCGGCCGATGCTCACGAAACGCGACCCTGCGGAGGTCGTGGGTGGCGGACGCCGCAGAAACTGCGCGAATCGTGTTCTGCCTTGCGAACCCTTCGCGGAGATCGCGCGTGTCTCGAGTGCTCAAATGTGAGACGAAAGCTCTGGCCTCAGAACTGTCAACTTTGTGGGAGCTGCGGCCTCAGAACCTTTCCGCTTACTTAAGCACCTTGTCGGCATCAAGATAACAACATGCAACTAAGCTGCATGACACTTGCCCATGAAAAAAGGGGCAGATTGCGAAGACAAAGGTTTTTAGAGACAACTCACAAAGTTGTCGTTTGAACACGTTCTTGGACTTGCTTGAACAAACCAACGACCTCAAAATCTGGAAGGTGTTGAATCTTGCTGGACGCTGTAAAAGTGCTTGTTATACAAAGTGTTTGCTAGCATGTTTTTTGCCTTGCTTGACCCAGCCAAAACCTGCAAATCTGGAAGAATTGAATCTTGTTGGGCGCTGTAATCTTGCCTTTCTATTAAGCCGTGGGTGGGGGCAACTGTTTGCCGTACTTTGAACGCATTGAACCTCTTAAACATTTGAAGGCACGTTTTGGCAAGGGTGCTGGGTGCTACTAAAAGTAAAAGTTAAAGGGGAGTTTTCTTGCGCTTTGCGTCATACTGAAGATATTTGGTTCACGCTGTAATAATGTGAAAACAGAATTGCCTTCAAGAACGGTCCTGGCATTACCAGGCTCAATGTCTGACATTGGAAGGTTGCTGAAGGGATCAATAGATCAGAATACACCGCCACTGCCCAACCACAGGGCCATTTTTTGGAAACATATGGAAACCATTTGTTTTAATGTTGGGAATGTAACATGTGTAAGTTCATTGCTAGAGACAGTGGCTTTGCCATCATCACCCATTGCTGCCAGCGGCCCTTGTCAGCGAAAGGCTTTAAGGCCTAAAACAGTTTAAGTGCAAAGTGGGAAGCGGAATGCTCCAACTGAGGTTCAAAACAGATTTGGCCGTCGTAAGAGTGCCCAAACTGTTGATTCAATGACACTACAGCGCCGACGACGCTGTAAAAGTGCCGCGCTGACCTACATCCTGAACAAGTCAGAGAACCAGAGTCCGGGCCCTGCAAGAAGTTTCTCAACAGTTTCATCAAGAGGCAAGGCATTTATAATCGTTCATTCACAAACCTACATACGGGCAAGTGTAAGTGATTATGTCAAAATTACAGTAGATCAAAGTAATTGAAAATATCTATATGTATGATATGTTGCTTTGTTTGTGCAAGCAACGTGTTTTGTGTATATGTATATACTACCTTCGGATGTCATAGGATTTAGAAAACATACATAGGAACTCACACATTCCCAAGTCATCTGCCTTATCCCCGGTGTGATAAATCCCATGTCATCAGGCAAAAAGAGTCGAACACAAGATAATGCAATGCATCACCAGATTGCCCACAAAACGAACTGAACACAAAAGGAAATGAACGCAAAGTGAAAGGAACATGACAGGCAATGGTTGCAACATGAAACGAACATGAAGGGACATGACACCAGAACTAAAGGAAAACGGTTGTAAATAAATGCGAAATGAAAGGAGAATTCAAAGACATGAATGCAAAATGATAGGAACATGAAAGGACATCAATGCAAAATGAAAGGAGAATGAAAGGAAATGAGTAGACTATGAAAGGAAAATGAAAGGACATGAGTGCAAAATGAAAGGAAAATGAAAGGACATATATAGATGCAAAATAAAAAATACACCATGAAACGAAATTGAAAGGACAGGGTTGCAATATGAAAGGAATATTAAAGGACAACAACGCAACATGAAAGAAATATGGAAGGAAATGAACACACCATGGAAGGAAAATGAAAGGAATACATACATGCAGAATGAAAAGGAAATTAATGCAAAATGAAAGGAAATGCAAGGAATTTCTAAAGGGAAAGAGCCTTCAGCAATTAATGTTACATTTGCAGTATATGAGTTCAAAAACAAGACAATGTAACTTAACTAAAATTGCCTGAGCATGGTAGGCGGGGGGTCTACAGGCGTCATGTTTCCTATGAATTTCCAATAAAAACAATGTAAGTTGGGGGCTCGAAAATTTAATATTACATTTTGACACCTTAAAAAATAATGTTATGCTAGACGCTTGAGCCTCAAAATAAAAACATTGAAGTTCGATTTAGGGTCCCCCCTCACTAATTTGTGGCGATCAAATGTATACCAATGTAGTAGGGAAGCGTGTTCTGGACGCTTGGTGTTGCAATTGTTGTATTTAGTTTAGGTCACACCTTTTGCGAATTATGGATTGCGCATGTGATTAGGCCACGCCATGGCGTTTTGCGCGGCCTCAATGGAAAGTGTGTTTGCGTGGTTCCGTGGTCAGTTGGATCTTGATCAAGGACTCTAGACGCCTAGATCCGGGCTTGGTTCCAGAAACTTGGTGGTGTGAAAGTATGCTCTTTGTATAGCATTGGCCAACGAGGCCAACGAACATGTTCTTCCACCAAATTTGAGTTTGAGCCTTGTGTACGTCCCCTGTGCTTTTGCGCGCTCAATCTCCTCACCAAGGGTTGGATACATTCAAGCCATCCAAATTTGAGTCAGTCCACTGTTTCAAGCTTCATAGCGCACCCAGCCAACCCTGAGTTATGCAGGTGCGGCCTGAAGTTTCACCACAAGACATGTTCGGCATTAGAAACCTTTGCGGGTCAGGATTACACACGGACAACCATGTCGATGTTGTGCGAACAATGAGGCTATTGGGTGGCGCATAGGAACTGGTCGCAGCTACAAGGCTCGAAATTGAAAATTGTTGCATTGTAGACATTCCTGCAATGGCTGGAGCTGACTCTGGGCAAGGTTTCTTGGCAGGACGCATAAAGTTGTATCTATACGCGGTGTATATACACATGTAATTAGATATTTAAGGGGGGTTCACGCAAGTCTGGAACCAGTGGGCACCTGCGACTGGATTTGTATAAGACGGGGACCATTCTAAATACAATTCAAGGATCTATTCTGTAGTGAACACCCAGGATGAAAATGGCCAAAACCTGAACATTACATTTTGTAGAGTTGTCATGTTTCAAGTATATAGTTGGCATGCAATTTTATGGAAAAACTGGTTTGCAGCGGCTTGAATATGTTGGTGAAGTGAAATCGCATTTTGCAGTAGACACACTGTGTGGCCCATTCTGAGGGTGTTCTGCCGGAAGTGTTTGTTCCTGCTGTATGTTTGGTGCAAGGAGAGGAAGACAAAAAAAAAATCACACAGTATCAAGACAGAAAGTTACATATGGGCTTGCCCTGGTTGCCCTGCATTTTTGCGTCCAGCCCGAGCTTGGGGCTGCTCACCCCCGGTCAGTTTCACTCTACAGGTCTCTAAAATGCCTTGCCCAGCCTTTCTGAATGCTTGAGGCGAACGTAGGCAGACAAGGCGTTTTATAGAAGGTAAGAAATGGAGCAGGGTGGCGCCACCACCCCTAATAGAAAGTCTATAACATCTATAACGACCTACCCCAATATCATTTTATAGCCCTACAGTAGCCTCTTGTGGCTTTGTACTTGTGCAGTTCAGTTGGATTGTCGTTTCATAGGCCAAAGACTTCCAGCTTTATACGCCACAGAACTGCACCTGAGTCGCCTGGTCATTTCATTGATGGGTCCACTTGCCAGATGTTTTTTGGTTAAGGTTGGTCACCTCATTTTATGAATTGTTTACGTGGTTTGTCATTCTATAACCTGCCGAGGTTGAACATCCCATTCATCAAACATTCATTTTGTCCTACTGTACATAGTGCCTCGTATATAAATGGTCCAGCAATTATAGATATATACTGATGCTCCATTCACCGGGTAGCATTCTACTGGTATTCCAGTTGTGCACGTGAGGCAACGGGGCACCTGCTGCCGCTGAAAACAACTTCTGGCTGTGGGGCACCTGGGGCAAGAGAGCCCCTTGGCAAAGCCATAATCGACAGATCGTTGCTTGGCACCTTTTTGACTTTTTTGACGGTGCTTTCCTCACCTGAGGTAATCAAGGCACCCTTCCTGACTCAGAAAGTGCCAGGAAAGATCCGTGATATTATCATCGGCCAGAATTTCATCATAGCTCTCAAAGAGGACAAACTTCAGACATTACATAGGGCCACAGAAAGCTGATTCCATTTCTTGATTTGTGGAATGGAAAAGTCCTGTCGACATGTTGCAAGATCCTGAAGGATGGTCAGTTGGTGTCGTGGGGCGAAGACAAAGTTGGATGTTTGGGTTTGGGCACGGAGGACGTCAATGCAGCTTGGTCATAGTTTGGTAGCGCTCACAGTCCTGTAGAAAAACTGCGCGGAGGTTTTGAACGCGCGCAATTTGAGAAAGCATTCAGTTCATCAAAAAGGGTCACTGTAAGATGCTGAGGTACAAGATCCAAGAAAGATCCCGTTTCCATCTGACTTCAAGGGCAAGGTTGTGGATGTCCAATATGGTAGGCACCATGTGCTGGCCTTGACAAGCACTGGTAAGGCAGGATCGGAGCACCGCAAGAGCAAACAAGAATGGGGGAAGAATTCGGGAAGAAACTGTTTGTCCACTTTGGGTTTTTGACAAGTGGAGTAGAGAGTGCAGGAGACCAGGAGATGATGACCTCCTGAACAAACTGAGTGTCGAAAAAAACTCAGTGTGCCTCCTCCATCTCCTGAATGAGGTAATCCTAGGACCCTCGATCCCGCTCCGAAAAAGTCAATGTTGTTTGGATTTATTGGAAGGCTTTCAGGCTAAATGCTGCTACCGGCCAATTTGATTTGCAACTTCAGATTTCTTTCACTATCCCGTAGTCAGCCATGATCCTGAGTGTTGCAACGCCTCCATGTTTCAACTCACTCACACGGCTCTTGAAATATACTGTACCAGTCTCAGTCTTAGTTTTTCTTTGGGGGAGAGAAGGGGAACAACACTAGTGTCACCCGTTGTTAGATGTACCAACGCAACTTGACCGATTGGCCTTAATTCATGCAGCTCACTCCTCATTTAGCTTACCGTAAGCTGACTATCAGCCCATGGTGATACATTGTTGGTTATGTTGGGATCCCCTAAAGCCCTGCAACAAGTTTGGGGTTGTTGGTGGGCGAAAGGTCAAAAGCTGCGGATTTCCTCAAGAAGCAGCCTGGCCTGTCCCCTCACTGAAACCCTTGTCATCACCAAACATCTGAAATGAGAAGTCATTAGAGCACCTTGTTGTCTTGAGTTACTTTTGGTTCTTTGTTATCTCTTGAAACTGCTTAGTTGTTCCCAGCATGGGGAAACGACAGTTGTGAGTCGCAGCTCTGTCAAAGACCGGAAATGTCAGGGAGAGCTCCTCCCAACCCTTTGGCATCGTATTTTCACAACGCCTCTTAGTACAGCAGTTTCTGTCAGAAAGTCCAACTACATAATTCTTTCTCGGCGTCTGAAGTTCCTGAATGGAAGTCACGGTCATGTCTCGTTTGGCGGTGCTGTTTTTGGTGTTTTGACGCAAGGTGTATTCATGGGGCGACAACAACAAAGGCCAACTTGGCCTCAGTGATCAGCAGAACCGCTACGAACCTGTGGCTGTGGAGGAGCTGCGGCGCTGGACCGTGATTCAGATCTTGGCCTTGGAATCCTGGAGTGGTCCTTGAGTGACGGTCACTGTGACCGTTTGTGGTCACCTTATTTTAAAACAATCAATGCCAATCTATGTTGCTATAGTGAAGGACAGGTAGTAGGCAGAAAATTGCGCACTCGTTTGTAAGCAGATCCAAAATTTAAAAGGCCACCCGGGCGTGATGATATCACAATTTTTGGAAGTCAAAATCTGCTTACTACTCCAGGAGAGTCCGCTTGGCAAACATCTGCTTACTGGGGGTGCTTTGGGTCAACTCCCAAAAAAACATTCCAACGGTTCAGATACTTGCCACCATGCTGAACCGTTGGAAAATCTCCCCCAACCCGTGGAGAAATAAGAAAAGAGAGAGAAAACAATGAACATGGAAGGCTTTGGAAAAAGAGAAGAGTTGAGAATATTATTTTCTGAAACTGTCAGATTTAGGCAACATGAGATAGCATGACAATCACCCATGCATAGAAGCACATGTTCACGACATGGCCACGAAGGCCCAAGTCCCCGTTTGCAGGGAAAAGCGCCCGTGCCTTTCATGGTAGCGGAGCTCTGGTCGTAAGTACCGAGCTCCGTTACACACGACAACACGACGAAGTTGGGGAGGTCGAGTACCAGGAGGCGATCCAGGGAAGGGCCCACAACATCCGCGATTTGGTTGCTGGAGCTGCTGATCTTAGCAGGCCTTGCAGGTGGAGCTGGATCGGCTACGCTTCAGGAGATCCAGTACTTTCACTCCAACAACATCACCCCCAGCACTGAGAAGGTGAAGTTTCGCTACATCCACGTGCTGAACATCGAGACCACAGAGTTCCAAGCACGGATAAGGTGGGTGAGAGGAGCGAGAACAGTCAGAGCATCGGTGACTTTGGCGAGAAAGAAGAACCCTTCAGTGTTGAAAGAGGTGATTGTGGTGGTTCCCGCCAAGTGGAAGTTCTTGGGACGAAGTGGAAGTTCTTGGGACGAGTTGAGGAGTTGAGAGAAGACACAGAACCAGAAGTCCTAGGTGAGCTAGTGTACAACTGGCATTTCTGGGAACAGCTGGTCTACTCAGGACTGGTCTTTGGAGAGGAGGAACCCTTTGTCTCCTTGACCTCGAAGACCTTTTACCCGGACGTGAGAGGTTGGAAGAACATGGCAGAGGAGAGCTTGAGGCTAGTGGCAACGGCCTTAGAGAGGCTGACCCTCAGCCAGCAGAATCAAGGCTGGGCAAGACATTTGAAGAGTCCAGATGTGTTCAAGCCTGACAGCAGGGATGCAGAGTTGAAAGGTTGGAGCGACTGGAAGTTCTCATTCATGAACTACGTGAAGGGCTTGGATCCATCCATGGCACAAAGCATGGACATGTGAAGAATGAGAACGGCTTCCAAGCATGGCAGGTCCTCATTAAGGAGATGCAACCTGCATCTGGCTTTGCTAAGCCAATTGTCGAGGATCCAGTTCGCAGATGACAAAACTGTGTCCGAGCAATTGCCGCAATTTGAGGCCTTGATCCTTGAGTATGAGAGGATTTCAGGTCAGAAATACAGCGATGATGCTAAGGTAGCAGCTGTACTTCTCGCTTGCCCTACTCAAATTCGACAACACCTCCAGATGTGGCTTACGAACAGTACAACGTATGAGCAGCTGAAGGACCGCATCATTCAATTGGAAGCGGTCACCACAAAGTGGGACAGTACAAACTCGTTGATGCTGCCTACCCGAGTCACAGGAGATGATTATGACAAAGGCAAGAAGGATGGCAAAGGTTCATGGAAAGGACCTGACAAGGGCAAATCTATGTGGGAGAAAGGCCCTGGCAAGAAGCGGAAAAGCTCAGACAAGGGCTCAAAAGGTGGCAAACAGAGCAATGCATGTCACCTATGCGGAAAAGTTGGACACTTTGCCGGTGAATGTTGGAAAAGAGTCAATCAAGTTGAGGACAACACGAACATCAACGCTGGAGGAGCCAGTTCATCGTCGACAGGACAGGCTGGATCCGGGCAGGCAAGTGGCACAGGGCATCAGACTTCAATCAAGATGGTGAGGTTGGAGACTCCCCCGGACGTGAACTCCGTGGAGATCTTTGACTTGACTACACCAAGGGAAGAGAGTGGAGCGCAACATCCCTGGCGCGTGGGGATGATTGAGCTAGCAGAGAATGAGGTGTTCTATGACATCGAGGAGCACTATGAATTTGAGGATGCCTACATGGAGTGCCATGAACAAGCAGTACAGGTTCCTGAGAACGTGGCTATAGTGGCTATGGATCTTCAGGATGAAGAGGATGTGATGGTGAAAATGGTCCGCATTCAGGAGATTGGCTATGAGGATGAGTGCATGGTGACACTCGACAGTGGGGCAGATGTCTCGGTCCTGCCTAGATGTTATGCTGGGACAGGTGAGAGGCAGCAAGAGAGAGAAGACTTGAGGATGGTTGATGCCCAAGGCAGAAAGATAGCACATGACGGCATCACTCGAGCGCGGGTTCGTGTTCGAGACAAGACGGGAAAGGAGATCGAATTGGTCGAGGAATTTGTCCTTGGCAATGTGCAACACCCCATCTTGCGCGCAGGGAAGTTGCTGAAGAGAGGATGGAGCCTTAACAATGGACGGAAGCCTACATTTGAGGCATGAGACAAGGGAGGTCGACATTCCTTTGAATACAAGCAGGAACTCGTTGCAGGTTGAAGCTCGAATACTCATGGTGAAGATGAGCGAGGAAGCTGTGATGCAAGGTGAGCAATCGAAGAATCCCAAGGAGGATGAAGAGGATGAAGTGAGAGTATTCGCGTTGACAGGATACCTCAGCAGATACGTCAAAGACTTGGAGGTGACTCCAGGATGGCATAGACTTCCCAATGGAGTGGCAGTGTATAGTGATCCGGTGGCTACGCAGATGATTGGCCCTTCAGACAGCATCGAGAAGATGTACAAATCTCGCCTGACAATGGTGAAAGGAAAAGATGGAATGTGGACCCAACTGGAGAACATTGAGGACTACACGACGTTGGGTGAGCGTGCATTCAGGAGGATCAGTCTGACAAACGAACCAGAGGACATTGACCTTCTTCTCGACGAGCAAGTTCAAGGACTACTGGGAGAAGGGATCAGAAGTACCCATTGCACCATACCCTTTGACTGAGGCCGTCATCAATCAGACAGAATGGTCAGAGGACGAGCGTGAGGAGCTAGAAGATGAAGAAAAGGAGATGTTCCATGATGTGGAGAAGATGGTTGTTGCCGAGAAGAAGGATGAAGTGGAACTTGACGAAGTGACCTATTCTGAGAAGATGACAGTCAAGGAGCTCCAGATGGCACGCAAAGAGAGACAATTGGCACATACAGGAAGCAAGAAGAAGCTGCTGGAGCGCCTGGTTGGCTACAAGGTGTACATGGAGACGAAGATGCACGTGGCAGTGGCGAACAAGCTGTATGAGGAGAAGCGAAGGAGGCCAGTGACACTAGGACAGCCAAAACTGCCTAGCTTAGAGGAACAAGAGGTTCACAATGTCACACATTGGCCTTATGCCGCATGGTGCCAAGCATGTGTTGCCAGTCGAGCCAAAGAAGACAAACGTGAGAGTTCTGACAAGAAAGAAGATGCTGGAAAGAGCGTTATCGAGCTCGACTTCTGCTATACGCACACAGGTGAAGAAGACAAGGAAGATGGCAGAGCTGAGGAGACTGGTGCAGGAAAAGTGGTTGAGAGGCAAGACCAGTTCGGGACATGCTTGGTGATGACAGCAGCCACTACGAAATCGATCCACGTAGTGCCAGTACCGACAAAGGGGAGTGCAAGTCTGAAAACCATCACCGAGGAGGTAGTGAGATTCAGTCTTGAGAACAGCTCAAGAGACAGATGCACCATTCAGGCCGACAGTGAGCGGGCCACTCGACAAATATTGAGGTCGGCGCAACAGGTGCGAAATGTCATGGGACTTCAGACAGAGATCAGATTGACTGGAGCTGGCCAACATGCATCCAATGGACAAGTGGAGAGAGCAGTACAGACAGTGAGAAGAATGGCTGGATGCATTAGGTGCTTTGCAGAGGATCGAGCGCGCATTGACATTGGTGGTAGCTTTCATGTGTTCCCATGGGCTTTCAAGCGTGCTGCATTCTTGATCAACCGGTTTAGGGTCCTGGATTGTTGCAACAAGACGAGTTTCGAGTTGGCCCCAGGACACCTATACAATGGGAAGTTGGCAATCTTCGGAGAGAGTGTGATGTTCAAGAGGTTGGTCAAGTACAAAGGCAGCAACATCTTAGAAAGAGGTGTCTGGGTTGGAAAGCATCCATTCAATGACAATCACATCGTGCTGACCTCAAATGGAGCATATGAGTCCAGAACCATAAGAAGATTGTCTACGGCAGAGAACTTCAGCGGGGTCGACATCTTCACAGCAAAGGGACTCCCTTGGAGCTATTCTCGTCAAGGGATCTTGATGAAGCCTAGCATGCTGGACAAGCTCAGAAGTATCGACAGCCGACGTTGGAGGTTGAAGCCAGTGAAGAATAGATGAAGGAGGTTGCAAATGCAGTGGCAGCAGGAGTTATCACCCTGGCGCCAGGACTACAAGGACAGCCAACAACACCAGCCATGATTGGTACTGCCGTCCCAGAGACTCCGGCTGCAAGGAGAGATGAGTCGCAAGATTCACCAAAGAATATACAAGTGAAGAGGTCAATTGAGGAGCAAGATGAGGAACATGAGGCTAAGAGAACGGACACAACAATCTCTCCAAGGAGGGCGCAAGACAAGAGGGCATTGACAGAGGAGGAGACAGAAGAACCTGAGAAGAAGCACAGGTCTGAAACAAGACTCCCTCAAGAAGCAATGCATTCAGGATCACAATTGGAGGCTTCACCAAGCGCATCTCCTAGCAGTCAACTGTATCCTCCATACTACGCAGGGCTGAACAGGATTGAAGCTCATGGAGATGAGGAGGTTGGAATCGAATGGATTCCAGACGAACTGTTGGAGGAGGAGTTCATTGATTGTGCTGGAGATGAGAATGATGACCCGCCTGAGGTGAGCCCAGAACATCTACAACGCTTGGATGAGGAGGCCAGGGAAACAGAACTGAACAGGATGCTCGAGATTCCAGCAATGGTGGAGACCGATGAGAATGAAGTGAAGAGCACAGGAGGATATGTGATCTCCACAAAGGAAGTTTACTGCTGGAAACATCGACTCGAGAAAGGTGGATGGTTCAGAAGAGCGAGACTGGTGGCAAGGCAATTCCGCAGCATTGACATTGAGCAAACATTTGCACCCACTTCGCTTATGGTGCTACCCAAGATGCTCATCCACTATTTGCTGAATGTGAGAAGGGAGTTTGTTGTCATGACACTGGGTGTGAAGGACGCTTTTCTCATGGCAGCACAACCAGAAGCAGAGGTGGCATTTGTGAAGGTGGACAACCGCATCTTCAAGCTGCTAAGGTGCCTACCGGGACAACGAACCGCAGCAGCTCAATGGTTCCATTTGTTCTCCACAACCTGCATTGAGTATGGGATGAAGCAAGATCTCATGCAGCCCACACTACTCTTCATTCCAGGTTTGCTGTACTTGACAGTGCATGTGGACGATGTCTTCATCCTAGGCAGAGAAGATAAGGTCCGGAACTTTGTGCAGCACCTGAAGGATGACAGGAAGTGGAATGTGGAGGAGACAGGACCGTTCAGACAAGGAAGCAAGTTCCATTACCTCAAGAGACAGTTCAACCTCGGAAGCAATCATTGTGATGTCAGATGTGACAGGAAACAGTATGACAGCTTTGAGAAAGAGGTCGACCTGTACTCGAGGTTCTACCGCAAGACACCCTTGGATTCGAACTTTGGAAAGAGAGATGAATCAGAAGAATTGAAGGGCGAAGAAGTCACGAAATTCAGAAGCATTGTGGGAAGGCTGATGTATATGTCAGGTGAACGACCAGATGCACAGTATGCCATTCAGTGCCTTGCAAGACACATGTCAAAACCCACGAAGCAAGCACTGGCAAATGCATGGCATGTCGTCTCTTACCTATTTGGAACAATTGGATATGGCATCCGCATCGACGAAAGGAAGAGAGGACAATCCATGATGGACTTGAGGATTGCCGACGAAGCAGAGGAGTCAGAGGAGCATCTGTTGGAGATTGTGACAGACGCTGGCTATGCCGGGAACAAGAACGACAGAAAGTCAACAACATCATTTCAGTTGTTCCTGTATGGCAATCTGATGGAGTCGAAGGTGAGAACACAGAAGGCAATCGCACTATCATCTGGCGAGAGCGAGTTCGTGGCTATGGTGGCAGGGTGTTTTGAAGGGATGCTGATTCGACACCTGTGGAATCAGATCACCGGCCAGAGCTGCAAAACAAAGGTTCGAAGTGACAGCTCAGCAGCAAGAGGGATGACACAACGACAAGGACAAGGAATTGGAAGAGTACGACACCTTGATGCATCATTGCTGTGGATACAACAGAAAGAGAAGGAGAAAGTGATCACGGTGTCAGCAATTCCAGCAGGGCTCAACAGTGCAGACATCGGCGCAAAGAATTTGGCCAGGAAGAGGTTGAGTGGTCTCCTATACATGATCCACATGGTTGATGCAGTGGGAGATCGTGTAGGAGAACAAGAATACCATGAACTTGAGTACAACTACCAGTTGAAGCAAGGAATGAATCGGCTTGGAAAAGGTCGAGATTTGAGGATCGGCTTGTTGCTTTTGCTGGCCAACATGGAGAGGAGCACAGCTATGAGCAGAGAGGGGAAGCCTGGAAGTCATTTTGACTTTGGATGGACTTTGATGTGTGTGTGTGTGCGCTTTGATTGGGGCCGTGAGCTTATGTAAGTGGTTGCGGGACTACTTGATTGAGGGCATCGGCGGCATTGGTACCTTCATGCTGAAGAAGATGACCGCCATGATCACGAAAGAAGAGGTCAACATGACCAAGGAAAAGTCCAGCGAGGACAAGCAGACCCAATCGACGTATGGGGTCGACTATGGAACGACTGGTGAGTACGAAGCAGAGCTTCAGAAGTACCAGGAAGAGTGCTTTTCGAAAGACACATACATAGAAGAACTTGAACAGAGGGTGAAATGCCTGGAAGAACATGTACAGGATTTCTGCATGCAAGCCAGGATGAGGCTTGCATCCCTCAGGATGACGCCAAAAGGGCGGGTGACCCATTTTTCTCCCCAGTGCAGATTTTGGGAGCACGGGTCGGAGTTCAAGATGTGTGAAATTTGCATGGGTGAAGGAGGAGTGTCAGATTTAGGCAACGTGAGATAGCGTGACAATCACCCATGCATAGAAGCACATGTTCACGACATGGCCACGAAGGCCCAAGTCCCCGTTTGCAGGGAAAAAGCGACCGCGCCTTTCAGAAACTGTATTGTTCAATATGTGGATGTAAAGCAACAAGAAAGGTCAACTCAAGATGACAGGATATGACAGAGTGATGGAAACCATGGAACTGAAAGGAATAGGTTGTATTTATGTTGCTGGGGTGTGCGCTGTCTTGAATCTTCTGTATTTTTCTATTCATGGTAATGCACACGATGCTGACAATGTCAATGATGTTGATTATGCTACACTGCAGTAAGCAGATTTGGAATCTGCTTACTGGGGTGGTGCATCCCAAAAGCATTTGTCCTTTTAACAGACTAAAAACCAGATAACTGCATCCGTTTTCACCCGATTCTTCGATGTTTCAATGAAATGCATTAAACAACTTTCCAACTTGAAGATGTTCAATAAAAATTTTTCTGTTTCATATATTTCTTGCAAAACTCTTCAAACATCAAGGAAAGAAATTAAATTAAGGAATTAGACATCAAGCTATCTTTACTTATACCCTGCAGGTTTCTTCATATTCGGGCGCACGTGCTTTTGCCATTGAGCCAATGCACAATCAACCCGCATGCCGAACCCCTCCACTGAACTGCGCTAAGCAGATCTGAAATCTGCTTACTACAGTGCGAGCTGTTTCCTCTACGCGTTCCATTGCGCTTTCTTTTCTGTTGTTTAAAGTAGTAGATCACTTTCAATTTTGTTGGCGAATGCACCTGCAGTAAGCAGATTTGGAATCTGCTTAATGCAGTATGCACTGTTTCCGCTATATAATCCCTTTCATGTTCCTTTTATTATGTTTTTTACTTTCCAGCATTTTTTTGTGTAACTCCACTCCTCTATTTGTCCTCTCCTGCTTTTCTGGCGCTTTCCCTGTAATTCTTGAACCATTTTGCTGGTTTGCTCTTTCTTCTCTTGTTTCCTTTTCTTTTTATCAGTTTCCTTTGAAATGCATTCCTCTTTAAATTTGAATATGTTCCTTAAGTCTTCTTGCGTTATTGAAGGATTGAATATGGTTTACATGACAACCAGGCCCCAGTAAGCAGATAGATTTTGTGGCGGCACATGGCGGTAACTAGGAATCTGCTTCCTACAGTCCTCTCGCCTGAAGGTCCAAAGTGTACCAGTCCCAAACCTGCCAAAATCCACCATTTCAGGGGTGCAGTAAGCAGCAAATTTTCTGCCTACCACCCGTCCTTGACTATATTCTTTCTCAAAAAAATCAGATTGAGGCCCAGGCTGCAAGAATTTGTCCTTGTTCTTCCAAAGCCCTGGTTTGGAAAATTTATTCAGTTTAAGCGCGCCAAGGATCACATGAGCTATGCACTGACATCAGATGGCATAGTGTACGCATGGGGCGACAACACCGATGGCTCGTTGGCATTGGGCCATGACAAAGCTGTTGTGGACAAGCCAGAACCGATGATGCGAATGCAAGGAACGGCCGTGAAGAAATTGGTCGCTAGAGATTGTGGCGGATCCGGAGGGAAAGGAAAGACAGTGATTGCCTTTGTTGAGTTAGCCGATCCATTGCCGCAAAAGGACAGTATTGGTGGCTTTGATCGTCCATTAGGAGGGCATGGGAGGCATGAAGACAAAGACAAAGTGGTTCTATCTGATGACATGGAGAAGGACATTTTTGAAGGTGTTGACCTCATGCGCCAGGTCATGGACAATACTCAGGATTGGTGGGAGCACATCCTCAAGGTCCGCCATGGCTCTCCGTACAACGACAACCCTTTGCAGGTCGATGACTTGTCAGACAAGAAGGACTGGAGTTACTGTGAGGGTCCAATAAATCCCCTGACTGGCAGTGCTCAATAACGGACGAACTAGCACGCACTTGCGTGAGAATAGAGCAAACTTAGTGTGAGTAGCGCCAAGCAGGACAGGGAGGCCACGTGCCATTCGTCTTCAATAAGGAAAGAGCATGCCATTCTGAGTCCGGCTGAATCAACATCAAACTTATTTCCCGGTTGTCTAAGTATGCATGAGCTGCTGAGACAAAGAAAGACTCCTCCGTTCCTTGGCAGGACGCCTAACTCCTTGCATGTGCACTAAAATGTGCGGTATTTGGGTATGTTTTTGAGTTCGCTGCCGTGTCTTCTCATACAATTTCACGTCCCTGTACTCTTGAATGCTTTCGCAAGGTTCCTCTTTTTGGTCAGAAAGAAAAGGTCAATGCATTACGGGCTGTCTTGATCAATGTGACTTCTGTTGTGGGTCTTGTCGGAGCTTTTGCTTCACTTGTCATCTGAAGAAGCTTCTGAGCTGAAATGTTTGGATTTGGATGGTTTCTGTACAGGTCTACGCAGAGCATTCTCAGGCTTTGCCTCATAGGGGACTCTGTTTCTTGTCCTATACTATCAATCCAAACCATGCACCTTCCCCCAATTCTTCTGCGTAATTAACAACGATCACCGTTTTGACGAACGACACCGGTCTTGCTGTCCAGCTTCTTGGACAATCACCAATGGATCCGTTCCCAGGATGCTGACAACTGCACAGCAATGCAGCTGGATACGTTCGTGGCTTTGGACCAACTGGAGGATGCGTCTTACGAATTAGACAAATTTATTCAATCTGCCCGCGCTCAGCTCTTCGAAATTCGCAAGAAGAAGGCCTGCTAAACGCGACACTCGTAAGACCAACTGCAGCAACGGTGCTGTTTGCATTTCCCCACCTAAGGGTACCAAAAATGTCAAGTTCATGCAGCCTGACAGCAATTCAGGGTTGTTTCGCCCTTGGTTAGATTGCTTTTGGCCGTGACTAAGGCTATCTCTTTTCATGGATGACTGCAAGCTTCGCATCCTGCACGAATTAAAGCACAGTCTTTCGGCATCGGCCTCCATTGGCGCGTGCAAGTGCAAACAAACGATCGAGTATTGCATGTTTTTGCACCGTCCTGAACACCCTGTGCAAAACCACTCTTTGGAATTATGATTATGGTTTGGATATGTTTGGATTCCTATTCTGATACATTTGAGGGCCAAGTTCTTCGGGGTAAACTTTAATTTCTCACATGAGTGCAGTCGTAGGCTGGTTGCACCCTGCGTTGTTTGTGTCAGTATGTGTGGTTTTTCAATGTTGTTCCCCAAATAGCTGCAGGCTGGATCGGCGTTTTGGTTTTGCAGGTGCTGCTGCCGTGCTGATGCTGGCGCTGGTGCTTTCGTTTTGCCGGTGCTGGCGCAGGTCCTTGCTCTGGATCGGCGTTTCCTTTTGCGGGCGCTACAGCCGTCCTGGTGCTGATTCTGCTGCTGTCGTTTTGCGGGTGCTGCTGCCGTGTTGGCGCTGGCTCTGGGTCGGCGTTTCGTTTTGCCGGTGCTGCTGCCGTGCTGGTGCTGGTGCTGGGCCGGCGTTTTGTTTGGCCGGTGCTGGTGCCGTGCTAGCGCTGGTGCAGGCGCTGGCTTTGGATCGGCGTTTCCTTTTGCGTCATGCCAGGGATGACGTCAGGTCATGCCAGAGATGACATCATGTCTTGCCAGGGCGGACATCTTGTCGTGCAAGGGATGGCATCAGAATCATGTCATGCCCAGAATGAAATCATGTCATGCCCAGGAGTAACCTCATGTCATGCCAGCGATGACATGATGTCATGCCAGGGGTGGCTTCATGTCATGCCAATTGGATCCAGTTGGCATCAGTTGCATCATGCCAGGGATGACATCATGTCATGCCCAGAATGACATCATGTCATGCCCAGGCAAGACATCATGACGTTGAATCGGGTGATAACGCTGCAATTTGAAGGCCTTAAGGCTTAAGCGACAACGAACTCACGTTTTTCACGTTGACGTGTGGGTTTTTGTTTTTTTGTGGTATCCGCTCCTCCTTCCTCCTCCTCCCGCCTCCCGCTTGCCACCAGCCGATTGCCACCAACCTTTTGCCACCGACCAACTGCCACCCACCAATTGTCAACAACCAATTGTCATCAACCAATTGCCATCAACCAATTGCCGCCAACTAATTGTCACCCACCAATTGCCACCAACAAATTGCCACCAACGAATTGTCACCAACCAATTGCCACCAACCCATTGTCACCAAGCAACTGTCACCAACCAAATGCTACCAACCAATTGTCACCAACCAATTGTCACCAACCAGTTGTCATCAACCAGTTGTCACCAACCAATTGCTACCCACCACGTGCTACCAACGAATTGCCACCAACTAGTTGCCACCAACCAATTGTCACCAACCAATTGTCACCAACCAATTGTCATCAACCAATTGTCACGAACAAATTGTTACCAGCCAATTGCTACCAGCCAATTGCCACCAACCAACTGCCACCCACCAATTGTCAAATGTCCACCAACCATTTGCCACCAACAAATTTCCACCAACCAATTGCCACCCACCAATCGCTACGTGGCAGGCGCAGCGCTTTGGTGTTCTCCGTCGGATGTAAGCCCCGGTGCTGCTGAGTCTCCGCCGCTGTGCTGCTGCGATTTGTGTGGCAGGCGCAGCACTAAGCATCAGTTGCTTAACAGTTACCGTGAGAACCCCTAGTGTCCACACTGTTTGGGGAACCAATCATAAGAAGCCACGGCGCCAGTACGATTGAAGGAAATTCGCATATCGCAGGGTGGAGTTGATCCACTGACGGGGAGGCCCCCCTTATCATACAGAATCGAGGTTCGCGAGCCCAAAGTCATGGCGCGTGGGAGGATCCTGCCCTCTAGCTAAATTGCCAATTGAACTCAGGTGGCTGAAGCTACCTTTCGTGATAAAAATTCCTTGACAGTTTGCTTGTATTTACGGCAGCCTAGTGCCCTTTAAAAGGAAATTGAATTGCACCTTCGCGGCGCCTTCCTCCTCTTTTCTTTACCATCGGGTGGCTCAAAAAGGTCTGCTACCCTGGAATGGTACTTTCCTCTAAGCTTTACATTGGAATTGCTCATCTCCTGCAAAATTTACCCTCTGCTGACAAAAGGCCTGCTACCTTGGAATGGCTTCTGCCTCCTCTAAATTTTATCATCTCGGGTGGGTCACAAAAGGTCTGCTATATACCTTGGAATGGTCCCCGTTTTACTTTTACATGGGTAACAAATTATGCGAACGGAAAACCTCACATGTTAACAACTTCACCAGACACAGGAGCGGACAATTGGTGGTTGGTGGGGGACAATTGGTCAGTGGCAATTGGTTGGTGGCAATTGGCTGCGCCTACCACACAAATCAGAGCGGCGCAAAAACAAATGCCACACGAATCACAGCGGCACAGAGGCGGAGACCCAGCAGCACCGGGGCGTACATCCGATCCTGGAGAACACCAAAGTGCCGCGCCTGCCACGCAAATTCAGAGCGGCGCAGACGCAGATGTCACACAAATCACAGCGGAAAAGCGGCGGAGGCCCGCCCCATGGCGAACACCAAATTGCTGAAATCAGAGCGGCGCAAACGCAAATGCCACACAAATCACGGCGGCGCAGCGGCGGAGACACAGCAGCGCCGGGCGTAGTGCGGCTAATTCGCTGCTATTTACAGTACATTCATGCCTCTCGACATCGTCAAGGCTCACAAAGTCTGCCTGCCAGCCAAGGGAAACCTCGTGGTTTGGTGCTCCAAAGTCGACTTTTCGTGACAGGCGCAAGGGATCGGAGCTGTTTTACTTCGAAATGCAGTTTTCGTGGCAGGCGCAGCACTTTGGACATCGCCAGCGGAAAAAGGGCGGACACCAAAGTGACAGACCTGGGAGACTGATGAATAGAAATGCTCAAAAAAGGGCGGACACCAGCAGTGACAGACCTGGGAGACAAATGAATGGAAATGCTACATGGCCAACGGAAAAGGGCGGACAGCAGCAGTAGCGGACCTGGGAAACAAATGAGTGCTACATGGCACCAGCAGTGACGGACCGCAGACAAATGAATAGAAATGCTTCATGGCCAATACACAAGGACACACCAGTGACAGACCTGCAAGACAAAAGAATAGAAATGCTGCATGGCCAACGGACAAGGGCGGGCACCAGCAGTGACAGACCTGGGACATGAATAGAAATGCTGCATGGCCAGCGGAAAAGGGCAGAAATTAGCAGCGACAGACATGGGAGACAAAAGAAGCGGGAGAAAATGGGAGACACATGCAAGGAAGTGGGAGACAAGCCAGCCGGGAAGCGGACCAGCCGGAACCCGACCACAAGCACCCAGACACATGAAAAGAACTGGGAGACAAATGAAAAGAACTGGGGAACCCGACCAGACCATCCAGCACCAAGGCGACCATTCTTTAAAGCATTGAGAACCCCTGACAGTAAACTGTTTGGGGAATGAATAGAAATGCTGCATGGCCAGCGGAAAAGGGCGGACATGAGCAGCAGACCTGGAAAACGCATGAATAGAAATGTTGCGCAGTGACAGACCTGGGAGACTAATGAATAGAAATGCTGCATGGCCGACGGAAAGCTGCATTGCCTGCGGAAAAGGGCAGACACCAGCAGTGACAGACCTCGGAGACAAATGGATAGAAATGCTACATGGCCAACGGAAAAGGGCGGACACCAAACGAATAGAAATGCTTCATGGCCAACGGACAAGGGCGGACACCACCAGTGACAGACCTGCAAATGAATAGAAATGCTACATGGCACCAGCAGTGACGGACCTGGGAGACAAATGAATAGAAATGCTTCATGGCCCTGAGGACTGGACATAGTAGTAGCACTGCAGACGGAGACAGGCGTCTCTGATTCACCCGCCTCAGTGGCATCAGCCTCTTCCGTGGCATCCGACTGCATAGTCTGATTTTCTTGGTTGTCCTCCGTATTGACATCAATGGGAGGGCCTCGGTCATGCGGGCCAGTAACAGCCCTCACGGAGGAGGCCAAGAGACGCTGCATGGCCAGCGGAAAAGGGCGGACACTGGCAGTGACAGACCTGGGAGACAAATAAATGAATAGAAATGCTACACGGCCAGGCGATAGACTAATTTTGTGTGGCCGGCGGCCGGTGGCCGGTAGCCGGTGGCGGCGGCCGGTGGCCGGTGACTGGTGGCGGCAACCGCGTGGCCGGTGGCCGGTCGCCGGCGGCGGCAGTCAGCGGCCGCGAGGTGGCCGGTGGCGGGCTAGCGGTCCGTGATCGGTGGCCGGTTGGTGCTGTGGGGCAAATTTGGAGCACACCATCCAAAGCTAACACTGCAGCAATATACCATGTCAAGCTGACCGCTCCATTGAATCTGCCGCAACAGTTTTTTCCGTTCCATTCGACGACGCGTGATGCATATCACTTGAATCCACGTCGCCGCCGCTTCGCAGCTGCCCGGCTGCGATCGCCCAGAGCCTGCAGGCGGGCCCTGTTGTGGACATCGCACATCTCCTGAGGTCTAGGTTCACGGGGTGGATCTGTGATGGAAAGTTGCCATTACAAGCATGTTAGAACCGAAAGCACTTCGCTCCTGAAGAAAAAGCTGGGTGAACCATGGGTTCATGTGGTGAATCACGTGTCCAAGTGGGCTGAACTGGCTATTTACAGTTTCCGCAACATCAGTGGGGAAGTCTGCCTGAATTTCTTCATTCTGAGGCAGCGATGGAAGGCAATGCTGGCTGCAATATCGCACAGTGCGAGCCGCAGCGTGGAAACGATCCACTATGAAGTTCGTCCGGGCCAAGCGACAGGCCACATCTGACGTAGACGACTGCCTCTGGTCCCGGCACATTAGTTTCAAGTGCCAACCGTCATCGTGGACTATCGTCAGGGTTTGAGGCATTCGGTGCAGCAGCGTCGAGCAGAAGTGATAACGCTGCGAAAGACTCTCTGCTCCATTGCACTCGTGCACATCCACAGCAAGTCCTTCGCAAAG